TTATTTTTCTGCATTCATTTGGTTCTCTGTCCTGTCATTATCGACTGCAGTAAGTGGCTTTGTGTGGCAAATCCTGTCTTATCTGGTTCTGTCAGGTGCCGGTTAAAATCCATTCATCGGAAGGATGCAGAAAGGTGGGCTGGTAAAATGCCAGTGCTGCCTTCACACTGCAATGGGACGAATATTTTTGGCTGGACACGCTGTATGGCACTAAATGTGTCTTGATTGCCTCTTCCTCTCAGTTTATCTTTCTATTATCCTATGTTATTATCTACCTGTCTATCAACAGTGGGAGAAATTAGTTGGGTTTACTACTGTAACTGTGTGTACTTGGACTGTTTCTGCTGCTTTTGGAATGCTTTAACTTTATTTATGAATGTTACATTTCATCTATTAGCACATAGCACAACACATTCACTGCACCAATAGAATGCTGCAGTAATGATTCACAAAACCCAGAAATGAATTTGCATTTTACCACTTCTGGCTCCCTCACCTCGAAAACACCTGAATGGGTTTTTGATGCCTGAGTCTGTCGCTAATACAAGCTTAAGAAATGTTCACGTTTTGTTCTACAACAAAATAAGTCAGTAAATACCCCACCCGTGAATTTTTAAGCTTTTACGTGTCTTAATTGTAACGCAGTCATTGTGTAGTTTGTTTATAGCCGTTGGCTTTTTACTTCTAAGTAGTCGCATTTTATAGCAGTGGTTGTTCGTTTGTGAAAATTAGCTTGCTGAACAAAACATATAAGTATCATAAACTTTTGTTCACCACAGAGCTTATTTTCTGCAACAATCCAAAATCCATTTGGCTTTTGTCGAGGAAACGAGACGATGCCAACTTCCAGGCTGGCATACAAAAATATGTCATCCCTGCAGCACTCTATTTTAATCAGGATTGTCTTTTCCTACGAACATGAGCTGTGATCAGTTTGAAACATGATATAATACAGCACATAGAAGCTTTACCTGCATTAACTGATTATTTTCTGCCATTTGGGGGCGGTGGAAAAGCTGTAAACACAATACTGACATTTATAATTACTGAGCCATTTACTGGGCTTTCTGAGGGAGCCTGGGATTTATCCAGCAACCCTCCAATCATGAGGTAACAGGACTATCTCCTGAGCTATACCTGCTTCCTTTGACATCCAATCAATTACTGGGCCACCTACTCCATTACTGAGCCTTCAACTAGTTATTTACTCAATTACTGAACAATGTACTCAACAACTCAGTGCTCTCGTACCTAGCTATCCAGCAACCTCCTGATTATGAGACGACGTCTTTCTCCCTCTTGATCTACGCCACCATCCTTAAACATGCTATTTACTCCATCACTGAGCCATTTACACCCATTGATCCTGAATGCGGCGGCATGTGTATACTGACAGGAAAAGAGATCATATTTCTCCTGTATTGGCTCCCTGTAAAATTCAGAATAGAACTTAAAATCCTACAAAGCTCTTCATGGTCAGGCACCATCATATCTTAAAGAGCTCATAGTACCCTATTACCCAACTGGTAACACTGCGTCCCCAGAAAGCAGGGTTTCTATAGAGCCAGAGCCTTCAGCTATCAAGCTCCTCTCCTATGGAACCGGCTTCCAGTTATGGTTCGGGAGGCAGACACCCTCTCCACAGTTTTAATACTTTCTCATCTTCCCATGGATCCTGGTTGTGCCTTTATCAGGGATTGTGGTTGCGCCTGCTGTGGTCCTGCTTGATGCCAACTGCTAATATTATTGTTATCGTCATTGTTATTATGGTTGTTATCATCCCTGTCATCGTCATCATCATTATTATTATCATATATTTATACTATTAATGTTGCTGTTGTTACTATTGTTATTATTATTGCATCTCTGTCTCTCTGTCTTTCTCTTTCTAGGTGAAGCACATGTGTAACTGATAATGGTTGAGTAACATTTAGCTCCTTCAGTTCCAGGGTCCTGGTATTGTGGCTCACTGTCATCACTTACTAGGACATTTCATGTAACAGAGCCACCATGAATGTTAACACCAGTGCTACTACTATAAGTCACCTGCTGTGAAAAATGCCACTTGAAAAAAAAAATCTTACTGCTTTGTATAACAAATTCCTCGATAACAATGATATAACTGAAAAATGTTCCTTTTCTGAACTATAAGGTCACTGAAAGGTTTCGTTTTGCTGCTGGAATGCAGAGTTCCTGCATTAGTATTAGAGGGGTGGCCGAATAAGTAATGGTAATGCAGTATTCCAGTATTCTCTGACCTGAATAAGAACATTTATACACTGGTACTGAGCCGCAGGATACCCGCCATGGGTGCAAGAGAGGAGAGAGAGAGAGGAGGAGAGAGAGAGAGAGAGAGAGAGAGAGAGAGAGAGAGAGAGAGAGAGGGAGAATTATTGTGGACATGGTTTGTGGCATTTGGCTTTTTGCTCTCTGTGATGGATTTGGTCCAAACCCTTGAGACACACAAATGAACTGTGACATCTATGACAGCTGGAGATGATGCCCACTGCCCTGCTTGCACACACACACACACACACACACACACACACACACACACACACACACACACATGGCACACACAGCCCAGTGTGCTGCATCCTTGGACAGCTGTTTCCAATTTCTAAGACTAACTTATATGGACTATATCCATTGGGAATATAGTGGTGGTGTATTATTATTATTATGATTATGTTGCAATTTTTTTGAAATAAATAAATGTAAAAAATGACATATTATGAAATGTGGGTTGAAAATCTTGCATGACCATTAGTATGCCTTGGGGCAAGGTTTTCCCAAGTATAGCTGTGTGCTAAACTAGAGGTTTATTCAATACAACTAACATATTTTTGTGATTTTTAGAGCACTTTGAATTTAACTATGCAGAAACGCTGCAAATTAGTCTTTCAAGCCTCTGGTAGCAACAGCAGGAAAGCAGTGTGATTATGAAGAGTGCTATGATAAAAAAAAAATCTAGAGCCTTTCTACAATGTGCCTCCAGTGACATATATCCTGTTTTACCTCTTGGCTGGGTTGTTGACTGCTTGTTTGTGCATATACAAAAACATGACACTGTTTTCTACTTTGTTCTGCTGCGATGTGTGTCCATGTGTGAACATCTGTGCTCCTTTTACTCACATCCTTTACACATTACTTACTTTTTGCACATTAGATATGCTTATTTTGCTCTATTTCTTTCAGCCATGTGCATAAAGGACAGCAGTAGCTATTTTAATATTTATGTGTACACGTGGCCGACATAAAGACAACACAATACTGTTTCTGTTATTGTCTCTCTCCTCATCTCTCAATACTGTAAAATGAACAGAATGTCTGTACTGCAGGATGAATGGGCAATCATATTATCAGTGTCAAAACCAATTAACCAATTCATTTTAAAGCTGTTTAATTTAAACTGCAGGTTGAGAATAAATGGAGTCAGATGACATTATTAACTAGATTAGTGTATTGATCCAGTTGTGAAGCTGTTGCTGCGCTAAGTAAGAAACAATTAGTTACAAGATGTCAATGAAATACTGTGGGCAGTCTTGATTATGATTTCCCTATTCGTAGTGAAGTAAAGGTGTATCGTCTCCACTTGCTGCTTGACTAAACTGGCTTTTTATTGTTGTTAATACATTAAGATTGAGCTTTACTTCTATTACGTGTGTGCGTGTGCATGCAGAAAGGATTGGTCTTTAGACAGGCTGCAGGAACCAAGGCGACGCAAAAGGTTTAATGTGCTGTCGGATGACATCACACATTTGGGGGCACTAAAACACACACCGCCAGCTCGCTCATAACCCACAGGATACACATCCAGTCAAATCCCAGATGATGTCAGAACAAATTACGTGCCAACACGCCTATTTGGGAGATCCAGACTTCAGGCTGTTTATGACAAAGATATGGGGGGGACGAGAGGAGAAAGAAAGAGAGAGCTGTTAGCATCCCATAATCCTGCTGAATACATATAGAGTGAGAGGATGAGGATGAGGAAAAGTAGGGGCTGCCGTGGCTCAGTAGGTAGAGCGGGTTGTCCATTAACCACAGGGTTGGTGGCTCGATTCCCTGGCTATACATGTCCATGTGACTGAGTGTCCTTAAGCAAGTCACTGAACCGTGGGCGCTGACGGCTGCCCACTGCTCCTAGATGGGTCAAATGCAAAGGACAAATTTCTGTTCAATGTTGTATTATTAGTATTAGTATTGTTATGGTGTTTCCTGCATTCTTCCATCAATTTGTTAGATTTTCTGACTTTCTGCTCTTTATGTTTTGTGTTTTATTTACCAGTAAACCTTGGGAACTCCCTAACTGGGTCAAATTAAAGCTTCAAGCAGATATTTTGGGCTGCAGCTTGTAGGAGTTTCCTCGCGAGCACTGCCATGAATGTTGTCACAACCATTTAATTAGGAACATTTGGGGGGACCTTCAGTCTTAGCTCATCAGTCTATGACAGTCAGTGCTTTCAGGGGTTATTTTGTGATAAAGTGTGGTAATTTCCCCCAGTGTCAAACCCACTTTCCCTCCTTTCCCCTTTCAGTTATTTTTTTCCCTGGATGCTTTTTGACAAGCCCCAACAAGCCTGAACTTGAATGAATTTCAGATTAAGATTTGATTAGTATCTTTGCCTTTTTCATGTTGGATTCCATCCTGTATACGGTTTAAAAACATCAGGTTGTGATTTCACAGGAAGTTATGGATTATTTCTTGACTGGGCACAGTCTCCAGGAAATTGCTGCAGTCCAACACATAACCCCTGTAAAACTGAATTAAACAAATCACATACAACGCGTTAATAATTGAGCTTTAGTGGGCGTAATTACTTTACCTTAGGCCAGAACCAGACTACCTGTTTTCTTATTTCCAGTCTTTGTGCTAAACTAACTGGCTCCCAAAATGAAACTACTCCTTTAATGGTCTGGGTTAGATCATTTGACGGACAATGTTAGTCCTCCTGAACAGAAACAGCCAGTACACACATGAACGATTAACAAATGAGTACTATATTTCTTGAAAGATTTATTCAAACAGGACACATGGGCCAACGTCGTATGAGTGCCTATTGACATTTCAGTCAGTTAAGTCCGTCAAAACTTTATTTATATTGCATTTTGTATGCATGAAAATTATGTTCATATCCCTTCATCCCTTAAAAAAAAAACGTCTAGAGAAATTTGTCTTGAGTTACAGAGAGTGACGTCAGATTGCCCAGTCTGCTTTTATATCTATAAAAAGCCCTTATATAAGCTGAGTAGTCAACAAATTTCACAGCAGACAAGTGGTACAGCATACATATATACACAAGTAGTACATAGCAATCCAAGGCAGCCTATTGCTGCCTATTACAAATTATCATGAAACAACGCATGATTTTTTTTTTTTTTTTCATTTTTTGCAGATGCAAAAGCTGTACAAGAAATTACTGAATCTTCCTTTCATCTTTCACCTAATGTGTTGGCAAAGCACTTGGATACAATGCAATATCTTTTAACATTAAATACATGAGTGCATGTATACCTTACAATGTAACTCAAAAGATCACAAGCTTCAAACATTTGACATCCTCTGGTGGTAAAGGAAGGTGAGCGGGAGGAGGGTTGAAGGGTGCGCAGCCATGAGTCTAAAATCTGGAAGCACTTTCCATCGGTCAAATGAACTTTTTTTTTTTTTTGACAGGAGCTTAATCCTTGAAAAAAACACAGTACAAAAAAACAAACTGACAGAAAACAAAGAAACAATTGAACCATACACCATAATCTATATATTGCTAGGGATCATGGAGCCCAAGTATGTCTACCAGGTTGCATTCAGATAACCTGCGGTAGAATACTTGCAGTGTTTCTTTTATAGAGAGGAAGTTTAACAAACAACAGTCAGTTAGCTCTGAGATGAGCGAGTGATGCCATAGTCTGTCATTAATCAGGAGAGATTGAGTAAATGCACTCTAAGCTGATGATCCAAAACAGTCTTAGCATTCTCACTGTTTTGGATTTTTAAGCATCAGTTAGGTGTACTCAGTTTCTCCTGATTGAAGGCTTTTGGTCCTGTTTCGTACCACAAACTTGTGGACGTTGTCTGGAAGATATAATCAGTGTAACACCTCCTGTTTCATGTATGTATGTGCGTGTATGTTTGTGCATGTGTTTAAGTATTTACATTGTCCACAACAGAGGCATAACTGTGGCTCATCAGAGGCTTTTTCAGTCTAATTTATTCAGCTTAACCAACTGCTTTTTTTTCAGACAATCCTTTGCCTGAAATGAAGTCCATCCAGGATTGAAGAAAAAAAATCCTGCATCCAGGATGCCCGACCACAGGGAAATTAACACTAAAAGGTGTTTTCCAGCACATCAGCATGATTGTGTCTTGTGATTGTGACACCTCTGATGTGGATCTCCCAAAGAGGAAGAGGATATTCAAGAATCAGCCTTTCACAGTGCTCGTTCAAACACTGTCAGCCAATCACTGAAAGCCATGCTATCCAACACAATTTGAGGAAAGTTGTGAAGAAGTTGTTAGTCTCTGTAAGTTCGCTGGTAGCCTGTCCTCAGGCCCTGTCTGTCCCGAAGGACTTACTGTAGACTCCTGTAAATCCTGGAGCCAGTGTTGCCATTGTGTTAAACCTCCAGTGCTGTTTGTTAAGTCAGCAAGTGTTGTAGGAGTATGAATGGGTCCTGTTACTCCAGGACCCAAACACAAGAATAACAATGTTGAAATTGTGCGATTCAGAGCAAAGACCATCTCCAGCCCTCCTTTCAGCTACAGTCACACAATGCTTTTGAAAACTGGTTGTTTGAGTACATCAGAGATAAAACCCAGAATTAGAATGTTTTTAGACAACCCAGACAAATACGAATGAAAAACAACCATCGCCATATCAGCTGTGTCCATGCAACCCCATTTCTTTTTTCTGTCTCCTCTCCTTCATCTGCTCCCAAGCCCTCTACAGAGCCAATTCTTTTGCTCAGCTCTCCCTTTGGTTTTACCACCCGCACCCTCATTAGCACCCACCCCTAAACTCTGAGGAGGGCTCCAGATAGACAGACAGACAGAGAGATAAGGATAGGGTGAGGACGGTTGGGCGCTTATTGCTTTACAGACGCATATTGCTTGTTTACTCGCTGTCATTCCTCGTTTGTTCTCAACCTCTAATGCATTCCGAGTGATTAAGGACAGGCCCTACAGAATATTTTGGTAGAGGTTTTGGAGACCAGAAAACTTTTCATATGAAGTGACCCACTTAAAGTGTGGCACCTCATGGGAATAAAAGTCAAAGAGACGGGGAAGCCATGGAGAAGAAACCTGTTGTAACATGGCACGTTACATAGTGTGCAATGCTGGCGACAGCATAGGCGCAGATGTGTCTGATGCATATTCACACCATGCATATCCCATTGATGCTTTTGTATTCATGATCCCCATTCTCTGCTGATCCCTTATTACAAAAGCATGCCAGCAGCTCCGAGCACCACTCCAACAGCTTGCCTTACAGGTTTTTCTCATCGTGGAGAGGTAAAGTAGAGAAGCCATTGCAGCATTACGAACAAGCATTATATTACTAATTTATTCTCTCGTTAAAGTTTTACTCCATCGCTCATTTTATTTGCCTGTGTACACTCGCAGCGCCATAAAATTGAGATGCAAATTGGGGAATTTGGCTGACTGACATTTCTGCTTGGAAGAAAAGTCCTTGGATTCAAAAATTAAAATTGCTTTTACATGAAATCCACTAAGTTCAGTTTTAAGGTAGCAGGTTGTTGCCAGCAAATCTCCTGATGTGAATAATATATTACAACACATCTGGTCATTCATGTCTGTGTTTGTGGATGCTAGTTTCTTTTTCAGTGTAAGTGTAATGGTTGAGTGTATATGGGAGTAAATCTGGAGTCTGCCACGCTGTGACTGACTCTCATTAATTATCGCTCTTTCCCCTCACACACATGCTAAGAGGATCCAGTGAGAATATCATGGTTTACAACAGCTTGGAGCACTTGGTACCAAACACCAGACAAGTGCTTGGTACCCATCACTCAACCTTCCATGGTCATGGATGCACAGAGGGAGGTCGGGGGGTAGTCTGCTAGGGAGCAGAAAAAGGGAGTAGGAGCAACTGAAAAGGGACAGAAAGAGAGAGGGAGTGAGAGAAAGTGCTAAATAGCGTGTGACTCTGGTAAGAGCTGCTGTTTGATTAGGTTCCACCACCTGTCTAATGTGCTATAGCATGTGCCAGGCATATGCACTGCGGCATAGCTGGTGTCCTCATGATAACAAATGAAGGTGAATTCAATCAGTGAGTCAGACTGGCTGTTGGACTGTTCTGTATGGTGGAGGAGGTGAGAATATGCGGTGTGGAGGTAAGAGATTTTGAGGTCTGAAAGCAATATTGAATTTGTTGACTAAAGCCATAACTGGCATTGGAAAAGTATGTTAAAAAATATATAATGTAATATATTACTAATTGAAAAATAAATTATTGTACCAGTTACTCGTCCACAAAAGTAATTAATTGCATAACTCGTTAGGTTTCTTTTGTCACTTAGCACAGATCCATCAAAGGTGCCTTTTAAGAGAAATTCTAGTATATTTCTTCCTCATTTCCCATAAATGCGGTTACTTAGGCCTAATGTGACTTAACAGATCATGCTAACTTTGCATTTACAACTTTTGTTAAGAGTTTTGGGGAAACAAGGGACTTACCCAATGGTTTTTTTCTTGCTTTGATGACTTCAAACACTAGTGACAGTGTTTGACAGAAAGCAGCCGTTGAACAGCCATTATGGATAACTGCATAGCAAATCGACATCTAGGGTAACCTGCCAGCTGACCTAACCTGCATAGTCATTTGTGTGTGAGGCTGACTTTCACTACAGTTATACTGTCGTCTAAGGAAACTCAAAAAGCTAAATGCAATGGTGGATTATCTCGTGGACTATTATGAAGAAGACTGCAAGTCATTTGATGGTGACCTAATTTATCGGAACTAGACACAGACCATGAGCTAAATCAAATGGACGAGGAAAGACGAAGAATGGAAGCAGAGGCAGAAAGTCACCAGGGCATTCCCGATCACTGCTCTCACAATTTATGTACGTAACAAGGTAGAGATAAAAAACAACTGGTCACAAATAGGCTTAACAAATAACCAGTCTATGGTTTGGAGGTATTCACTGACCATCAACAGCTAACCTAACTTTAGATGGTAAGCCCACTTTCAGATTCCTGAAAGTGGGCTTACCAGCGGCTAACGTTATCAAGCCAGCAAAGAAGACACAATATTAATATATGACAACAAGTTGACAAGTAAGTTATTGGGTGGCAAATTTCTTCTTTTTTGGAATAGAAGCTTTCAAGCCTCACATCTCCAGTTCCCACACTGAGCTAACGCTCCTGGACCAATCTGTCCATTGAATGCAGAGGGACCAAACCGATATCAGATCTCTATGAAACTACCCTTATGAGAGCGACTCAACCCCAAATTGTTAAAGTATAAAGCTTTGAATGCATTCAAAGCAGGGGTTACATAGCTTTTTGTTTAGGTTCAAGCAGTGATTCATTTGTGGATGTTAATGTATGTCAATTACAGGGAGTGAAGTAAATTGCAAAGCACTGGCAAGTGGTTTCAGCCTCTCAGATCATGTCAGCATTGCAGCAGTAAACACAAAAAGCATTACAGGTGTTCTTGTAATGCAACAGCGTATTTTCTACCTACATCCAGAAAAACTTCATGATGTTAAGTTGATTATGAAATCACGTATTTGCAAACTTATGGATCTGTTGCCTGAATATAGTAAGGTGGATCTTGGAGGGTGTACATACATATTTATATAGTCATTTCAAATCCTGGTACAACCAAATGCCTATACCAATATGCAGCATTGCATAACAATGTAACACAAACCCAGTCTCATTTGCAAAAGCCAGTGTGTAGGAAGGAGGAGGAGAGAATGCAATGACTTTGTAATGACCTTTCTGGATACATGGACTCTTTTGCTGTTTTCTAGGCATTGGACACGTCATGGTTTTCTTTAGAGGTGAACATCCACAGAAAGACAAAAGATGCTGACTGAAATGAGCAGCTCAACAAACCGTTACAAATACCAACAAGAGAGCTTGCTCATTCACTTCCCCAGTTTCTGAGGATTAGTGTGTGGAGAGACAAGTGTGTGTCTGTTTGTGTGTCAGTGGGGGATGCCTGTGGTCTCTGACACTGCTGGGAACCTTCTGTAGTTTTTGACAAGTGTGTAGTGTGTGTGTGTGTGTGTGTGTGTGTGTGTGTATGTGTCTCTGTGTGTGTATGTGTGTGTGTGTGTGTGTGTGTGTGTGTGTACATGGTTCAGATCCTTCTCATCTCATTTGCCCCTGGTATGAGATGAATAACTAACCCCCTCTCCCCCACCTCTGCCCTTCTCTCTGGTATGAATTGCCAGGCTGATATCTCACTCTCTAGAGGGGCTGGAGGGCAATGGAGCTGACAACACAATGGCATTGTCTCTGCTGATGAGGAGCCAAAGTCTTAGGGGAAACACTTCCCATACCAGCCTCAGAAAAAGTGGGTAGAGCGAGTGCATCTGTGCTCGTTTGTGGGGTAAATAGTGTCTGTGTGTGGGATTTGAAGATTTGTGCGTGGTAGAGTGGTGCTACGGAGCAGTGCAGAGTGTCATTGAGGTGCGAGGGGGTTGAGAGGAGAACGAGGAGAGAGCTGTGCCAACACACTGAGAGGCCACTCAATTATTTAGAAGACCCGCCAGGTTCAAAGAGTCACAGCCAACACCTGCCAATCCACCACCTTCACAGCTTATCTGCTGCTGTTTTGATCCAGTGGTCTTAAAAGTACACATATAGAACTCACATTATTATTATTGTTGTCAACAATGATGAGAAAAACGCAGACTTACAAAAATTCTGATTATACATGATATTTGCCTGCTCCTCTCTCGCCATTTCGGCAGTGGATATAAAAGATATCTGAGCATTTCTTTTAAAGTTGCTTACAACCCCACTTGGTTTCCTCTTCTGTCTAATCACCCAAACACCCCCATGTTCAGACAGTGACCTCTGTCTTGCTGTTGGTGGGCAGTCCCTTGTGCTTGGGGTGCATGTGCGGCGAGTGGCCATAGCCCAGCGGCTGCGAGAAGAGCTCGGGCAGCGTCTCGATGCTGAACTGCCTCTTGTTGGAGTAGGCCTGGCGCCGGCTGTTATGCTGGTGCAGCGGCTGGTGCTGCTGCTGCTGGATGGGGTGGTGCTGCTGCCCTTGGAGGCCAATGTGGGAAGCCACTGGGTGCTGCATGTGGCTCTTACTGGGGTCCCATGCTTTGAATGCCGAGCTGGAGGTGAGTGGGTGGGTGTTGGTCTTGGAGATCTTAGGCTTGGGGATCTGGGAGGCGTTGATGGTGATGGCCAGTGGCGCGTGGATGTCGGGCGGCGGGAGAAAGGGCTTGTCCTTGGGATGGAAGTTGATTGGCTGGAAAGTGGGAGGGGACTGGCGGTGTGTATAATCTACCATTGGGTAGCTCTTGTAGTAGTCTCTTGCAGCCGTGTCTGGACGATGGGAGAGACAGTGGAGGCAGGGAAATAAAGGAAGAGACATGGTTAAATTAAGATGATGAATAGTTAAGACAATCAGTGTTAAGAGTAGTCAGTATGTGTATGAAGCTGACAATGCTGTAATTGTAGTATAAAAAAGATAAGCAGTGGTATTATTCAGTGCAAAATAGCAGATTCACATTTAAAAATGAAATTATTATTGAAGTTCCCCTCACACCTATATCTTCAATTTGACCCTATAGACCAGCTCATGTGGTTAAATACAATATATCTACATATATATGCACATTCCGGACAAATCTGTAAAACTGTGGCTGCTGTACAGCATGTGTGTGAGTGTTTGTACTACATTTATGTATTTGAGCTTTGAACTGTCTGTGAACTGACCATGGCGTTAAAAATACCAACAGCACCAGAGAAAAACAAATAGAGAGAGAGAGAGAGAGAGAGAGAGAGAGAGAGAGAGAGAGAGAGAGAGGCTGCGAGAGAAAGGCTGAGAGAGAGAGGCTGAGAATAAGGAAAATACAGGAAAACGCAGTAAGGAGTGCAGGGCAAAACAGGAGATTTATAGGGAATAAAAATAGAGTGGGTTCAGCGTGTCGAGTCAGATTAGCGCGAGCTCCCTGAGTGGAACTCGACTCGGCTGTTCAGTCATCACCACGACAACCCCCCTCACCCCCATCACACACACACACTCTGCCCTAAAGACACCAACAACCTTGTTTGCTTTACCCCGTTTTATTGGCCCCTTTTTCCTGGAGAGGAATAAGAGACTGAGAAAAAAAAAATGCTTTGTAGTCTTTTTCTTTCATTCTATTGCTCTGAATTTGTCTTCCTCTTAGACTAGGTATTGTTCAATATCTTAACATCAGTCTTCATCTGTCTCTGAGCAGTTTGAGGTTCCTTGAAAACAACATCAAAGAGAACCTGTCATGGTCATTTCACGTCTCCACCCTGGTTAATAAAGCACAAACTAAGGGAACTTAAAGAAAAATTCCTGTGCCAAGTTCTTGTTAACTTATATAGAGGAGTGATAGAAAGCATCCTGACTTGGAACATCACAAACTGGCATCAGATGTGTATTGCCCAGGACAAGAGGACTTGTTGAAGTCTGTTTTACGAGTAGCATAAAGGGAACGGCATTCTGAATTTCAGTATTCAACCCTGTGGTGTAAATTACCATAAAATGACCTTAAATCCTTGAAATCCTTGAAATTCTTGAATCTCATAACATACCAGGTTACAGCTGCTGTCAGCTTGTATGTTTTTTTCATTTTGTTCGTGTGCCTGTGTGTCTGATCTTATCATCATTACACTCCAGACAGAAACATCATTATAAGATTATGTCGATATTCTGGTTAGAAGACAAATGACCAGTTGACTTTAATTTGTTGTAATGAACGTCAATGTATGTTGCTGGTTATTAGTGGGTGTTAATGCATGCATGTGAGATGAGGAGAACCGTACACTGTGCTCATGGGGATTTCAAGGTCTTCTGAAACATTAATGCAACTTAAAAAGACATCATTTGAAAGCATAGTTGGGTTGCTCTATGTACCGTATGAGCTGCTTGCAGTTTAAGGAAAATAGAGCCTTGCGTGTTAACATCATTGATTGATCTTTGGGCAATATTCAGTTAAAACACTCCAAACAGAAGTCATCCTTTGGCTGGCTGAAATTAGAGGGCAGATTTACAGCTTTATCTACTGTACAGAGTTAGGAATACAGAGTTTAGCCGAGGCCTGTTTTTTTTCTCTATAGCTATTACTGTTGATTCATTTCTAATCATTTGTTGTCGACAAGATTACTGAGAACATTTATATATTCAGGAAACACCTAGAGGAGAACATTCATACATGTCAGGAAACTGTCCAGTATTATCACAGTCTGGTAATTGCCTATTGAACACTTCAAATGTGGGCCCATTGTGTAACTCAAGGGTACTTCAACAGCAGCTTTCTCAGTAAAATTGTCCAAGCTGGTCTAAAGATTTGAATACTATCCTACTTCTCTCCACACCCGGTGTCAGTACAACCATCTCAACTGCTTACTGACAGGCTGCTGTGTGTCTGTGTTGTTGTTTGTCTCAAAAGCCAACTGGATATGTTCCCTTATAACATGACAAAGCCACCTAAATGTAAATATAACTATATAAAAATAAAAAAAAATATTGATATTGATAAATTTATTGATCGGTTTATTCATGAAATATGTTAAAGGTATTATTACCTATTTGCACTGCCAGGACCAACAAATACATTTTTATGACGAGGTCTAGGACCTGGCTACGCAGATCTATTACTAACCAACAAGATGGTGCAAGAGTTTTGCTGAAATGTATATTGCATCCCATGAATCGCAGAGGGAATGCTGCTGAGGTGTTTTCATGAAAGCAAATCCAGTGTTTGACAGTATTTATGGCAGACGTTTTTCTGCAATAGCCATTTAATGTCTAGCATGTAACATTTAAGGGGATCTATTGGCAGGAATGGAATTTAATATTCATAACTTTGTTTTCATTATTGATTATTTCATCATTCCTTTGACCTTGGAATGAGCTGCTTTTAATGCTGCGGGTTGCCTTCCATTGATGCTGTCATGTTGCCATGTTTCTACAGTAGCCCAGAATGGACAAACACTGGATCTGGATAAGGATGTTCATGTTTTTCACCACCGTAATTTCTCTTTTGTGCTTCAAAGGGGAGAATGAAGCGAGGGAGTATGCCACTAAATACTGCAAACTGGTCCTTTAAATAATTTAATATTCAGTTATTATCTCTCTATATACTAGTATTTATGGGTAGTAGCGAACTCTGCCAAAATCTAGATTGAACAGGACATCCTGCTGCTGCTTTACAGTAAAATCATTCAACTTAAAATATACAGGGTGACTTTTATTGTGAAGCAGCAGGAGCTGCAATGCATTTGTGTTTCAGTACACTATGACATCACTGTTGGGTGTGGTTACAGGTGCAACAGAGCACACTTGTGGCCGCACCCACCCAGCAATGCTGCTGAGGTCATACAGACTTGAAACTTCCACCCAGAGAGTGTCACACAGCTTTAAAGCCAATTGTTAGGTCACCGGTTAAACTGAGAGGCCACAACAAGTAGGGGCCCTGGGTTAACCAATCCTTGCTGTAACAGCCATGGGTTTGAATCTGACCCGTGACCCTTTGCTGTGTGTCATCCCTATCTCTCTCCCTTTCCCTCCCTCCCTGTCTATCTTCAACTGTCCTATCCAATAAAAGGCAAAAAGCCCCCAAAAATATATTTATAAAACTATTAACCCTTCAGACAGTACGTCCTGCAGACTTGTGGAGAGGGATTTAAGATACAGCAAAAGATCTAAATTAAAGTAATCACTTTAATTATTCAAAAAACAGAGATTTAGGAGGCATATTTTTTCCTTATAAAGCAATACAGTGTCACAATATTGATGACTAAGAATGAGGAGAATGAACAGAAAAACAGCTTTACTTTCATTTAAATTTTGAAGATGGGGATGAACGTGTTTAGGATTAGTTTGTGTGTATGAGTGCACATATCAATGTGTGTGTATTTGTGTGTGTTGGTTCATGTATGTACATGCAACTGTATGTGTGCCGTGCATTGTGCAAGAAGGAACACATTTACATACATTCTTCACACGCTGAAAAGGGGATAAGCCGCTTGATGTGTACGTGTCTGTGTGGAAAAGGGCATCGCATGGGTTTGACATCTTTCAGCAGCTGTATGTTGCAATGAAGTGAAAAATGCACATTGGACGTCAGCAGTATTGCTGCAGATAGACTGACAGGCTGTAGGTTTAATATCCAGGGTGCTGTTTTATTGTTTATCAGTTTTTGTAGGAACTACCATTTATTGATTGTGGAAGCTGTATATCTCCTTTCAGTGTAATATACTGCATCTGAAGCTTCAGCAACTCAAAGAAATGGAGAGAATTGGTCCGAATCTCTGGACAGGGCAGGAAAATCTGGGACGGCACAGAAACAATGAATTAAACACACTCTTCCTTCCCACAACAACTGCTGTTGCTGTCCTTTTGAATGTTTCCACACATGTTGCCAGCAGCAGCACCTGACAGCAGGGTCCTCTGTGACAGTATTAGGTGCCTTCCTCTCCATTTCACAGACTCTCCATCTGCTAAGTCTTTATCTCTCTCTTCCTCTCTCTCTCTCTCTCTCTCTCTCTCTTGTTTTCCATTTTTCCATCTGTATTTTGTATATTTCGTACTCTTCAACGACATCAGCTTTTGCTCTCCATCCAGCAGCAGCCTAAAGTGAGGCCTGTGGGCCCAATCTGGGCCACCGCATTATAGCTGCATAAGCTGGGCCCTCCAAAGGGTAACAGAGTTTGACAACATACTGTATGCTATTTGGTCTATTTTTAATGCCATTTAATTGTGTTAGAGCAGTGAGAGGACCTGCTCAGTACACTGTCTATAAACATGTGTGAATGAATAACATAAGACCTAAAAGACAAATAGCATAAGAGCTAAAAGACAATGTAAACAATGTATACATCCTGATGTTTTTTTTGGCAAGTAGTAGATCATTAATATTATATCTAGCACCTACCTTTGTGTACACACTTCATTATAAATAAATTAAAAAAAAACAACTTTTAGATACAAGTTGGCAACCCCCAGTTATAATTTCACAAGCATTTTGTGAAGTTTCAGGAGACTCTCAGGGTGATTTTAGTTGTGGACAACATAACTAGCAACATTAAATACAATACATATGTTGATCTTCATCCTTAACCTCTAAAACTCTGATTTAGCCCTTATATTCCCTCTTTTTCCACATTTCCATGACAGTAAGTGTGTTCTGTAACTTGTTCAACCCTTCATCACAGGCATATGATGACTTACAGTGAATGAAATATTTAAACCTCTGATGGCATGTTCTTAGAACTGTACCATTACCTCAAATAGAAATATTCAGACTGACATATTTGGTACTAAACTTTGAGACCTCCATTGGAATTTA